GGAAAGGAGAAATAAAATCAGTGCCTTTCTTCATGCTTCTCCACCCTGACTGTCCCCCTCTATATTTAATCTCTCAGGAATGTAAGGAGAAGGAAAATAACTGGCCAAACAAGGAAGCCCCAAATTTCCACAAATGTTTTCTGTTCTACACAGAGAAACAGGGCACCAAAATTCCTGAGTTTATCCCTACAGCAGTCTGAGTCCCCTTTCTACCCCCAGCTCTTTCCTCTCCTGGCCTGGGTACCTGCAGGTAGGAGAGGTGATACTCCAGCAGAGCCTGGGCATTGCTGATGTTCTCTCGGGTGCCAACAAAGATGAAGGGAACCATTCCCTGGAGAGCAGAGGGCAGAAACGATGGATCAGAAAGGAAAATGTAATGGAAGGATTGACCCTGCCCAGTCTCCAAGGGAAGCCTGCCCAGTGGGATCATTCTGGGCTCTAAATCTACTAGGGTTAAACAAGTTTCCGTATTCCACCCTCTCAAAGAACAATCCCTGCCCTCAGAGGACAATCCCATTTACTTCTGAAAACCAATTTCTATGCCCAGTTGTCCCGTACCCGTACCTCCTCCCTGGGGTTCTTCTTGTCATTATCACCTTCCACTCGAACCCTCACCACACCAGATTTATCCACAATCTCCTGGATCACTTTCCCGTTCTTTCCAATCACTTTGCCTGAAATAGGTAAAGGAGGAATTAAACTTTTTTTTTTTGAGGAAATAAGAATAAAGCTGATAAAACGTCTTCCAGCCTCATTTTCTTCTCTATGAGTTCCATTTACTTCATTCTCCTGCTTCTTGGTTTCTGATGTGCTTTTACAGGACAAAATATTACAATCCCTAGAAATTTATTCTTTCATTTTTATCACTCCCATTACAGACTGTTTTCTCTATCCTTGTGAAATTGGGAGTCCATAGGGAGGTGCCAATCCCTGGATACAAGCTCAGAATCACGGTAGAGAATCTTGATTCTGACCACTAACTGTATATACACACCACCAACTCACCAACCAGGTTCCTGGGCACTTGCACTGAGTCCTCAGAAAACTCAAGGTAGCTTCGGGCCTGTCGGCAAGCCTCAGGAGTCTAAAGGAAGAACAGTGGGGAGTTGTTACCACATCAGAAGACCAGCTGGGAGCAGTGGCTCATTCCTGTAATCCCAGCACTTTGGGAGGCTAAGGCAGGTGGATGAATTAAGGTCAGGAGTTCAAGACCAGTCTGGGTGATACGGTGAAACCCCATCTCTACTAAAAATACAAAAATCAGCCAAGCATGGTGGCTCACATATGTAATCCCAGCTACTCGGGAGGCTGAGGCAGGAGAATTTCTTGAACACAGGAGGCAGAGGTTGCAATAAATTGAGACTGTGGGCCGGGTGTGGTAGCTCAGTAATCCCAGCACTTTCAGAGGCCAAGGTGGGTGGATCACCTGAGGTCAGGAGTTCAAGACCAGCCTGGCTAACATGGTGAAACCCCATCTCTGCTAAAAATACAAAACTCAGCTGGCCATGGTGACTCATGCCTGTAATCCCAGCTACTCGGGAGGCTAAGGCAGAAGAATTGCTTGAACCCAGGAGGCAGACGTTGCAGTGAGCCAAGATCATACCACTGCACTCCAGCCTAAGTGACAAGAGTGAAACTCCATCTCAAAAAAAAAAAAAAATTGTGCCACTGCTCTCCAGCCTGGGCAACAGAGTGAGTTAGACTCTGTCTAAAAAAAAAATTAATTAAACAAATTAAATAAATAACTTCAAAAAACAAAACATGGTGAAACCCCGTCTCTACTAAAAATACAAAACTTAGCCAGGCATGGTGGCGCATGCCTGTAGTCCCAGCTACTTGAGAAGCAGAGGCAGAAGAATCACTTGAACCTCGGAGGCAGAGGTTGCAGTGAGCCAAGATTGTGCCACTGCACTCCAGCCTAGGTGACAGAGTAAGACTCTGTCTTTAAAAAAA